TAAGAAATTACGATTTTATATAAACTACTAGGGCCTAAATAAGCTTATAAAGAAAAACTAGTATTTGCTTCTATTAATTTATAAAATTCTTTAGAATATTAAAAAAGCAAAATAGTTTATAAAGCTTAATATTATAATAGCTTTTTATAAGATTTATATTACTAAAGAAAATAAATAAAAAACGGTCTTTTATATAAAATATAGACTTTATAAATAGTTAGTAACTTTCTTTGGCCTAATAAATATCTCGAATATATTCCAGAAATATATTAATTAGATTTTTAGGAATTTCCTAAATAAGTTCTATTTTGCTTATATAAATAATATTCTGGTTTATTTATTAGAATTAAAAAAAGAATACCGCAAATATATATAAAAAGTTCTCTAATAACTTTAAAAAGCAGATTTATAGCTAGATATTAATAAATACGAATTTAAAATCAAATTAATAAAATATTTAAGGTTTATTATAAAGGCTAAAAAAGATATTTATATAGATCTAATAAAGATTAAAGCTATTTTAAGTTAGAAAGTCCCGAAATTAGTAAAAGATATACGGAATTTTCTAAAATTTACTAATTTTTACTAATATTTTATTTGAGAGTTTTTAGAGATTATTTAACTATTATTTAATCTTATATATAAGAATCGAGTATTCTTATAAATAAATAAAATAAAAGCTATTTTCCAAAAGCTTAAAAAAAATTATTTTGGCCCTAATACTAGTATAATTTAATTATAACTAAGAAATAATTCTTGAAATAAACTTTTCCAAATAAAATATAAATAATATTCTTATATAAGTTAATAAAAAGAAAATTTTATAATTCTATATCTTTTTCTTAAAAAAAAATAATTCTATAAAATATAATTATAAGATTTATAATAAGGAAATATTTATTATTATTTATTATTTAAAGAAATAGAATATAAAACTAAGAAATATTTATTAATTTAAAATTTAAATAAATTATAAAAATCTAATATATTTTATAATAATATAGAAACTTACTAAATAGTAAATAAAATAGTTTCTAATTCTTTTATAATATAATTTCAAAATCTTATATATTTTAGAGAAAAATAATAAATAAATATATTTTTAAGGTAAGAATAGAATTTTCCTAATAAAAAAGAAAATAACTATTATTAGTCTAGGATATTATAATTATTAAAGCTAGAAACTTTTAGTAATCTCTCTAAAAATATAGCTCTTATAATACTAATATAGGTAAGAAAACAGATTAAAAAGAAATCTATCTAGTTTTCTAAGCCTGGCTTAAAAAACCAAAAATAAAAAAGAAATATTTAGCCAGAAAACTAGTAGGATATAGAGGCCTAACTTATAGATATAAATTAGTAAAGAAATAGAAGAAAGAAAACGGGATTTCTTTTAAAATAAAAGATTTTCCTAAATCGGGTTTAAGAAGCCAAGAATAAAATAAGAGTTATAATAGTAATAAATAAATAAAATAATAAATAAAAGATAATATCTAAAATATATTACAAAAGCTTTAGTATAATACCCAAGAGAAAAACAAGCTATATTAGGCTATAATTAAAATAATATAAAAAGAAAAATAAATATTTCTAACTAATTTAAAAATTAAAGTATTAATAGAGAAATACTTATTATTCTAATTAAAATAACTTCTTTTCTGAAAATAATAATAGATTTCTAATTTAGAAAAGCTTTATATAAAGCTAATTTAATAGACCTATAACTCGATCTAATATAATTACTTAAAACGAAATATTATAAGTATTCTTCTTATATAATAATTTTTCTAGCTAAATATATTAAAATAAATATATTAGTTTATATAGAATTATAATACTTATAAGAGAAATAAAATATAAAGAAATTATTATTAGAGATTTCTAAAGCCTTTTTTTATCCTAAATTAAATCTAATAAAAGATCTTAATTAATTTTATAATAAAACTTTTATTAAATAAAGAATATATTAATATAATAGTTATTATAAACTATTTAGAGAAAAAAGTAATACTCGAGGCTATAGTAAATATTATAGTAAAAATAGTAATAAAATAATTTATAAAAATTTATTATTACTAATATAGGCTTTTAAGAATAATAATTTCTAATTAAAAAAGTAATTTATAAAAATACTATAAACTAGGATATATAAACTATTAGGTATTACTTATTAACTATCTATAATATATTATTCTAAGATAAATAAGTTTATAGAAAAAATAAATTAAATAATTGAAATCTTTTTCTATATTTTTATAAATTATAATTAAATAAATTAGGTAATTCTTTTACTATATACTAAACTAGTAATTAATAACTAGAATGCCTTATTTATAGAAATTAGTCTATTCTTTCTATCTTATAAATACTATATTAAGCTAATATAACTTTAGGATAAAGTTAATAAAAAAGGCAAAGAACTATTACTTATTTAAATAGTAAATAATATTATATATAAGCTATAATAGTAATGGCCTAATAACTTTAAAAAGAAGTAATAAACTAGAAAAGAGACTAGGCTCCGGAATTTAAAGTTAGAGATAAAGTTTGGCTTAATCTCTAGAATATTTAAATAAATAGGCTAACTAAAAAGCTTAATATAAAATATACTAAGTATATAGTAATTAAAATAGTAAAGAGCTATAGTTTTTGACTTAATATTTCTCTAGAAATATATAATATATTTTATAGTAAGCTTCTTTAGCTAGCTATAATAGACCCGCTATTAAGCTAGTTCTAAGATAACTTATAATTATAATTATAACTTATAAGTAATAAAAAGTATAAAATCAAACGGACCCTTAATAAGAAATATATAAAACATAATTAGGGGCTCTTAAAAAAGCTATTTATAAAATGGAAGAGTTATATATACTTTATATAGGAACTATACTCTGTACTTAAGGAGACTATAGTATTAGAAGCTTGGGAAGAGGTTATTTAGCAAAAAGAAATATTACCTATATACTTGCAGGGCCGGTATTTACGGATAAGAAAGGGGATAATATAACGGGTCGAGACCTAATTTATATGCTCGGCTAGAAGCCTTCGCCAAGTCATATAATAAAGGCCGGGGCCTTTGTCATGTGATACGCCCCCTTGGGTTAACGGAGCAATTACGCGTTACTCAGGAAGCTCGGACACTTCAGGGAATACGGTTCCGCTTCTCCCCGTTTTTCTCTTTCTTTTCTCCTTAGAGAATTCTATTCAATTAATCGAACCACCAGTCTTCTTTGCACAAAGGCCTGGCCCGTGACAACTAGTTCTTGGGAAATCCGGGAAAGACTATTATGGCTATTATTTCTGCGGTAGTGCTTCTGGCAGCTATTGGAGCGATGCTTTGGTTTAAGTTACGGAAGAGGGCACAATAGTTGGCCCAGCAAATAACCGATATTGAGGTTCTACTAGATGAGAATGCAAGGCCTTCTCTAGATCGCGCAATTAATAATATATATGCAGAAAGCGACGCGATTGAAATAGTAGGGGTAGATGATATATTACCGGTGGATAATACACTTTGCAGGGGTAGGAACAAGAATCAAAAACGCAGTGTTGAGAAGGAAGTCTGAAGAGGAAGAGTCAAAATGTGTTTCTTGGATGCCCGCCTTGCTGAGGACTGCCCTACCGCCTCCTGGAACCACGCAGCCTCCGAGATATATAAGAAGACAAGTGAGAGTCAACCCAACAAGATCGTCAAGAGTCGTGCGGAAGATGGAAAAGAGTAGCCTCTGGTATATGTCGTCGCCAGAGCTGCCGAGAGAAATCGACAAAGATGAAGAAAAAGAGAAAAGGTTCCCGAAAGAGCAGGAGGTATTCTGTAGCGGTAGAAACGTAAATCTGTACTTTTCCACGATGCAATCTCAACTCCCACTCAAGTCTTCACTTCGACAAGAAAAAGTTGACAAGCTCCTCATCTACACAACCGCGTTGGCCTTCCCCTCTTATAAGCTCATCTCGCGGCACCGATAGCGTGTGAACGTACAATCAAAAGACCCATTGCCATCCTTGTCAACTTCTTCCATCATAATCTGCAGTCGGGTCCAGTTTAGTGAAATGGAACAGGATCACGTGACGTGCCAAATCTTCTGGCGTGTTGGCAATTGGTGCCTAAGGCTACTAGTGGCAATTCAGCTATGCAGGGGCATTCAGCTATACAGGGGCATTCAGCTATGCAAGGGTGTTTAGCTATGCAGGGCATTTAGCTAAACATGGGTTTTCAGTGGTAATAGGGGCCATTTGGACATGTATAAGTATAGGCCTTAGATTACTGCAAAATGGACAGTCGTCTGAGAACCATTGCACGTGACTTTTGCTTTGAATTCTCAACATGGCGAAGCGCAGATGGAAGGGTCGTCTTAATCCAGGGGGTCCGATTTAACTCCCTTATGCCATTCTAATTATAGGAATCGAGCAGGGAGCAAAATTAGAACCCAACTAATTCGAGGGAAGGTGCATCGGGTGTCTGCGGTCATTCAGAAGCTGTGCTTTGGTCTCTCGAACCGACAGCTCGGGAGATCACTATGCAAAGACGAAGATCTTGTTCCAAGTATCGAGAGCATCTTAGAGACCACGAGACCAGCACCAGCTAGGGTGTAGGTAGTTTGCGCAAACCAAGTAATTTGTGCAAACTAAATAGCGTGTACGAACGAAGTGGTGTGCACAAACCAGGTAGTTTGTGCACATGACTACGGGGCATGAGCGGCTATGTTCGGCATCAGACAGGTGGAGTGATAGAGGTGTTATTTATGTTGTACCTTACGATGCTGGCTTTGAATTGCCCCGACGGTACGGAGCGAGGAACTATTGAGAAGTTGTTTTGGAAGCAGGTTACCAGGTTGAGAAGGTATGACGAAGAAGAAAATACCACGTGCCGTTGAAGTAGAAACAAACGAGAACATCTTGGGTGGGCAAGAGAAGGAATCTCATACGCTCATGATTATCATTAGCTTCATGGCTCGACACTTGTCATTCGATACGTATTGAAACGAATAGACAACTATCCAAAAGATAAAATATAAACACCGCCCACCCCCACCCTCCATTGAACACTTAGCCAAGAACGCCCATCACCGCCTCCGAAAACCCAAAATAAAAATATCCTATAAACAGCATATACACCAAACGCTATACGGAAGTTTCCTTAACCTCAGGCTGCTTCGCCATCGCATCATCCGAGTCGCCCGAGCTGCCACTGCCGAACCTGGCTGTCCCTTCACCTTGCTCCGCGGCCACGAACGGGTCTGTCGGCGCCTTTGCTATCTCTTGGGCTTCCCCGTCTTTCTTCTTGAAATTACCGACTAGCCAATTATCGCGCATCCATCTGAAGACGAACTGTATACCGCTATCCCTCCAAAAATTCGGGGGGTTTTTGTTGGGGCCTGCCTTCTTCCTCTTACTCTCCCCTCCAGCAGGCGGCGGCGGTGGATATCGGAAGAAGGCTTGAAGGGGGTTCAAAACGATATTCAAGACGGCTCCGATGTAGTTCAAGATGGCTCCGATGTAGACGGCCAGAGTGTAGGTGAAGAAGGAAATTATGAAGATGGCGCCGATGAACCACGAGCGACCGTGGTCAGCCATACTGGGAAAGTAAAGCACGTTCTGCTCCTTCGGTATAGCAAATATTGCCTACGATGAGATGTAAGTAGTGATTTCGTGTTGATAATTTGAGTAAGTAAACTCACAGCCATCAACGCTATAGGTAAGTACCCGATGGTTAAGTAGGTCAGTCTCTGAACTGTTCCGTTTTGAGAGATCCCCGTACGACTGTCTCTCATTGTCAAAATATCAGAGGTCTGGTATCATTTTGGTCAGCAACTGCATTTAATAGATAATAATCTGAAGCTCACGGCGTCCTTGTTGCGTGTATTCAACTCGATCCTTCGATCTAGTTGAACACTGACAGCAGTTAGCTGTACCAAGCTGTCCTCAAACTTTGAGAGGTAATCCTGACACATCCCCTCAAGTCTTACACTACGCTGCCCCGGGCCCTGTAGAGGTTAGCTGGTATCCATAGAATTGAACCTTTAGAAACTCACAGCCTTAATCTGCGCCATGAGCTCTTCCTTTGCTTTGAGAAGGCTGGAGACCGTCGCATTTAGGCTGTTCTGCAGTTTGTAAAGCGCGTCCAAAGTCCAGACTCCGAGTTCGTACTTCTGAGGGTAGTCATCTACCGTCTTCGTGAACGTGCCCTATTGATGGTCAGCTCAATCGCAGTACGAAATTACTTCAATCGAGATAAATATTGGACTCACGTCAAGTGGTAAGAGAGAAGAGAGTGCTTTGATAGCAACTTCATACTGTCCTGTAAGCTCCTCACACATGTTACCCAGTAGCAAAAAGAAGACCAGGCATCTTGCCGTCTGAGGCTGGTGGATAAACTTCTGCCACACTTTCCTGGCTTTTGTTGCGAGAAGCCGCATTTTCTTGGGGTTGATAAACTCGGCCACGACGGTGCATTTGCTGAAATCGCCAAAGGAGTTTGTTGAAAGAACGATGGACGCTACCTCGGGTTTGAAAAATGTGCGTTCATTGACCTCCTTCACCTGATCCCAGACTTGCCTCAAATTCGTTGGGAGGTAAAAGTCGTCAGCGGAGTTTTGTTTTTCGGTGTCGATTTCTTTTTTAGTTCTGTCGATGTCATCCTTATCATGCACTTGCCAACTTCTCAAAGTAATGCTCGCGACCCACGTATCTCCCGTCTGGCAAGAGAATCGAGAGAAATTGAGAATGTCGCGTATGTGATCGCCAAGACAAGCGGCTGATTCGGGGTGTATCACATAGACCAACAACTCGAGAATCTTTTGCGGTATTTTAACTGGCGTGTCCTTCTGCCGCAAGGGGATCACGGTGCTGGTTTGACAAGTTAGTCAAGTATAGAATGTCAATGGGGTACTGAGCTGTTATTACTGAAATCGATGCTGGACTTCTTAGTCGACCAGCTAAGAGTAAATGGTCAGCATATATCAATACATAAATATCAGGACAACATCGAATTGCTTACATTGTCATATAGCGCCCATACAAGGAGGTCCTTGGAATGTTTGATTTTTTCCTGCCTTTTTTTTTCGTCCTTGCACTCTGTCCATTCGTTATATTGATGATCCTTGATTTCCCAAGTAAATTCCTGGTTGTCCTTTTCATGTCTAATAGCCTTGATGTCAAAGAGAAAGAGAAGTTTCTTTGTCTCCCCTTTGTCGGCGAAAATGTCCTCAATATCTTCCTTCCCGAAGTCCCTGCGATCTCGTCTCAATTTGTCTGGGCGATGTAGTACCTTCTCATCGAGCGACAAAGGCATTGGACGTTTGCCCAAGACTGCATACTTGTACAATTCAGGCGTATCTTCGAGGGAATTGGTAAAGCTGTCCGGGTGGTATGTGAGTGGTGGACGGAACGATTTCCAAGTAAACCGTTCGAAAGCATCGAGTTGGCCTTTGATTATGCCTCCCAGATGTATGACTTCTTGTATTACTCGCTTCTCGTGGTCCATCGAATATTGTGACCACTTTGCAAGAGTTTGCGGCCATTCTGATTTAGCATGATCTGTTGGAGATGGCAGGGAAGAATCATCGCCAGCTGAGGCTTTTTCTGCCTCTGATGTAATCTTGGAAGCCAACTCCATGGACTTTTGAAGTATAATGATCAGAGTTGTTGCCACAACGGGCGTGGCCTCTGAGCGAAGCCAGCCTTTGCGGTATTTGGCATGCGCCCGCTCCCAACAGGGTATCAAGGTTCCTTCCGCGTTCAAAAAGGTGCAGATATTCTTTCGAAATTCTTCTGACTCAGAATGCGTGTGTTCGGTCTCTTCTTCCTTCGTCAGCGCTACAAGGCGACTGTGGTGACATAGTGCGTGGATTTCCCACGGACCAGACGTAGATTCCTCCACATTTTTCGGTAACCACCCAGGGTTGAGGGTTCGTGTGAAGTCTCGTCCTTTGACGCGTTTCATAGAAAGCGAAGCAACAACGCCAGGATCTGTGGGCCGGAGTTTTTCGAGGTGCAGCTCATGTGATATGAAGGAGAGCCTGTCAAATATTTCGTCATCTGCCACATATGGCTCCCGGGATGATAACTTCGCCGATGAAACCATTTTAGCTGCATTTGCCAACCTGCGTACCTTTGCATCAAGGCTAGGTCCTTTCCACGACTTGTCTAGAACACCATTTTCGCAAAGCTTCAGAAGCGAACCGTAGTGGTACCACTGAAGCAGTTGCACCTTGTCTCTGTCGGCCGTTGTAAAAGTCCACTCGTCGGGAGGAAGACGGTGAGGTCCGAGTAGAATTGAGTTGGCGCCCTTCTTTCCACGCAGCTGACCTGCCCAGTCAAACGTCCAACCTGGATCATCGTCGTGAAAGTAGTTCCAAACATACCATATTGTCATCATGACATAATAGTAGTTTGATTCCCCGGCAACACGATGATCTGGCATCATAGGTGTATTGGCGTTTCCAATCAATGGGGGCTCGAGCAATGCCTTGGCGAGGTAGCGAACAATATTCTCGACGGAGGTTTTGATGAGCTTCATTTGGGACTCCTCAATGGACTCTGTTTGCTGTGTCTTCTGTGTTTGTTCTGGTTGTTGTGGTTGCTTTGAGTGCCCCGTTTTCTCCGTTTTCTCTGTTTCTTTCGTTTCGCCTTTATCTGAAGTTTCACTCGGTTTTGTGTTGTGAATGTAAGACAAAAGCTTGTGGACTCTGATCAGGAATCGAATCTTCCAGCTATTGGTAGGGGTTAGCAAGCATCCTTCTCTCTTCGCTTTAAAGCAAGTTCAGGGCAGGAGACTTACAACATCGCTTTCAAATCGACATTTGCTTTGACAAAGAGGTTGCTCACAAGTGCTGAATATTTTTTGGGACTGATCCCAGTGATCTCGACCTCGTTATGGTCTTCGCTATCGTCGCTGAAGGTGGCAGGGATCATGTCGACTTGCAAGATCTTTTCAAGAGATCGACCGATCATATTGAATTCAGCAAGATCCAGAACAGGTTCGGATCCGGAGCCGTAAGTGTGACGATCGAGAAATATTCGCTCCCACATGGCAGCTGTCGCCTTTTGGCCCAAAGGATTGACGCCAATGTGGTCGTAGAACTTTTGTGGAGTCGGTGGTACCTCAGGCCAAGTACCACTCCCCGTTGCCTCGCCTTCGAATAAGCGAATGGCTGCTACAAAAGTGGCGGATCTGGGTGGCTTGCGTTGACCGAATGGGGGTGGTTTGTCCTCCGATTCGGGTTTTAATTTACCCACGGCGTTGTAGGCTGTAAGACCAGTTGTTTCTGGGCCGTTATCCGCTTCCCAGAGTGACTTGACCAATTCCAGCTGCTTATACTCTCCTGGCACAGATGGATCAAATTGATAGATCTGAGCTTCCAAGCCCCGACCCCCTTTATCCTCCACTAATTCACCCTTATCATTCTCCTTATCCTTATTTTTGACCCAGTAAGTCATTCTCATGGTGGTCTCCTGGTCTTTAAGGGTATCGATGACTTTCTCTTCTTGTTCGCCGTCGTCTTTAGGATCGGCACCCTGGAGCTTCTTTCTCCTCTGGCGGTAAGACGGAATCCTGGAAGTTCTACTAGCCCCAAGTACCAGGTCATGCTCGCCGTCATTGAATGACTGAAACCCTGATCGCAGTGTAATTAGCAATTATTCCATAAAAATTGTCCGCAGAGAATTGAGAAGTTGTCTTGGGGGGAGGATGAAGAGATTGCTTAAAATAGAAATGGGGATCTTTCGCCAACTACTTACAGACAGGGCCGCCCATTGTGAGGACAATCTGGCTGTCAGCTGGAAAGGACAATTCGAAGTCATTGTTTTCGGAAGGGCGCAACTCCTCAATGCGCAAGATCTGGTAGAATATGTCGCCCAAAGCGCATGAAAACATCTGGCATGTCCCCACAGGTTTGCCCTTGGGTGCAGCCTCCTGTTCAGGCGTATCCTTCTCTGCCACCCCTTGTTCTGTCGAATTTCTTCCCGAAGGTATTTTCGGTGCATGCTGCCGGGTGCCACTACCCTCATTCACTCTGGTGCCAGTTTGTCCAGGGAAAATGTTCTGCGAATGCTGCGTCGCTCCAGTTTCATCATTCCCTCTAGTACCAGTCGCCCCGGAAGGTGTGTTCTGTGCCTGCTGCTGCGTACCACTTTCCTCATTCCCACCGGCGGTGGTCTCCTCATCATCCGAGTCCGGTGCTTCTGGAATTGTATCCATCGGTGTGCTGCTCCGTTTCGACTCGCGTTCTTTCCACTTTGCAATTTCGATGGCTTCCTGGTATGGATGCAGTTCGAGATAATACTCGGTGACTGGCCAGCGGTAGTTGAAACAGCCCCGGTCGATCATCCTTCCCAGCGCAAAACTCGATCCATTACTGATACCCGACTTCTTCGTTGACTCGGTCTGCGCCAATAATTCATTCGGTGTGATTTTCCTGCCAGCAGCGTCGTATGCGTAGGGAAACCTCGTCACCTCGAGCCCAAAAGTGGATGGACCGCCGAAATCGATTTGCGAGCGAGACAGAGATGCATAGAGCGAGGTAGCAAAATGGCCTCTCACCATGATCAAGCCTGTGTCCTTGGAGGGCTTCGACAAGTATAGAAGCTCGCCTCCATGGTTGCTGCATCCGGCGAGGCCCTCGTCGCCCCATTCGAAGGAGCAATATGGCAGATGCGAATATTGAGAGTAACTCGTGTAAGACGGTCCTAGCCGCGAAAATGAGATATTCAATTCATGGTGAAGTGAAGATGGAGCATTTATGAAGCTTACCTCGGCAAGCACGATTTAACCATCTGAAATCCTCAATAATATCTGGGCTCTGCAGGGGGTTCTCCCGAGAGTTGGCCATTGTGGAGAGAGTACTTTGGCTGCTTTGACTACTTGGCGCGACTTGGAGTCACTTGGCGCTGGCCAAACATTGAAGGGACTCGGGACCTGTGGGCAGACTTGTGGGCAGACTTGCGGGCAGACTTGGCTCTGGATGGCTGCTTAAGAGCTGGAGATTGTCTGGGGACACCTAGAACCCAGCCTTGGGGTCTGGGGAAGTGCACGAGTCCCGCAAGCTCCCCAGCTTCAAAGCTTCGAGCAGCCCGCAGAGCCTCAAGCAGGCCATCTGTTTATCGGAAGGCTTGGATTGGACTCGACATCCCCAGCTGAATTTTTTTTTTTGGCACACTCGTGTAATATTCCTCGTTTCGGCAGAAATGGGCAACACAGCTGAAGCCACAGCGCTTCAACCAGGCTGTGTAACACACTCGCCCCCAATCAAACCAGACTTCACCCCAGCTATCAAAGGCGGCTTGAACACGATTTACCCGTATCGGGGCAACCTGTCTCTAGCGAATACTGCATCAACCTGGCGTACCAAGGCATGCAGCAGCGGGAGAATCGATCCAACCAGGGATTCGGGGCCCCAAAGGTTCATGAGTCAGGCCGATTTGACACAAAGCCCAATTACTAATAGTCGGACTTGCGCGACGTCAAGTCCGACTATTATTATGCAAAACAATGCACACATTGGATCAATGAGTGGCGGGTGTGTCTCCGTGTATCTCCGCTCGGACCGTCCCATCTTCACCCTTCCACCCCTCAAGGCTCGAGAAGATAAGTGAGGAGGAAGCCGCGTGGGGTGCTGCTTCAATCTAATTCGTTGTTCGAAATGGTTGTCTAATTTACAAAGCCGCCTGTTTTCATTCGCTGTATATAAATAAACAGGGGTAGAAGAGATCGGGATCGGGATCAGGTGAGGTTGAGGTTGAGGTCAAAATGAGCGTGATTTGGATAGGATTAGCGTTCGTAATGTTACATGCCTCGTTCCTTAAGAGCAGTAAAATCAGGCTTCTTGGCTATAAAAGCAATCTCAAACGTTCTGCAATCCACCAACGCTTCTTAGTATTACAGGTGGGCTTGTGAGAACAGCCAGTTCGGGATGCATCGAGTGAGCGCCCCAACGAGAGAAATAGCCCATTGACGGCCTGTCAATGGGACGACGTGGAATACCTGGCCTCCGACGAAGATGATCATGATCTGAAGCCCAATCATAGTCGAGCTGACCGACATGAACAGCCAGTTTCTGAAGACACCATCAAAAACGTTAAACGTGTCATCGTACTGCCGGCAGCTGTAAACGCGGAGTTAGATAGCTGCTCCAAATCTACTATGAGTCAGAAATCTAAAAGAAAGTTCATATACTTATACATGTTGAATATCTGCATCCAGACGTACGTGTTGAAAACAAGGGTGCTGATCTCCTCGGATCTGTAGGAACATATGTGATTTCCAGCGAAACACAGCACCAACGTAACGGCTGTCTGGTAGATCGACTGTACGATGATTGTCTTCCACATAGTGATAGTGATCAAGACCAGTGCGCAAGTGGTAGCACGACACTCTCATTTGGAAAGTGATATTGCCTCTTCTTTGATTTCGAAGCCCTTCGGACCTTGTTGTCTAGGATTGCTTTCAACCGGGTTGAAATGCAACTGAGCTCCCCGTTAACGCTTAACCGGAACGTCTAACTAGTCTGGTAGGGTCCATTTGTAGTAGAGCCTGCCGTGTGTTCGAGGCACGTGGAAGCTGCCGTGGAGGAAGGAGAAGAGATTGCACAAGTAGCAAGCACTCTTGCTAGAGCATATGAATCTCGGTCGCTAATAGCGTGGATGAAGCTCGTAAAAGAAGAGGAGCTGTATCTCAGCGTGGACCTTCTAGGGTGATTCCTTGAGAGAGGCGGGCATCTGGATCTGGAAGGGCTCCACCTGAAATACGCGGTACGTACTATCCCTCGCAGCACAAATAAGCTCGAAGGTAGCAGAGTAATAGGCGCCCAGCTTGCCAATTGCTTCTGGCAGGTACTGCTTCAAGGTTAGTTCTAGTATCGAGCTCTGAAGAGCTGCCCTAAGAATGGCCAGGGGGATTTCGTAGGCCTGTTTAATAATCTCTCTAACCACCTCGTATACTGCGGCTGTCTCCGCATAGAGGTCCGATATGCCTTCTAGCTCGGTAAATAGGACATGCAGCCAGCCTCCGCTCTGCTCTTTGTCAACCCTAACCTGGCCTTAACGGACTTGTCGTTAATCGCCTCGAATAATTGAGTAATAAAGGCTGGTTTTCCAGTAGTCTTCCAGGTCTCTCTATACCGTAATCGTAGTCGTGACAGGATCCGATATAGGTCTAGAACAACGACCTGTTACCTGTCGAAAGAGAGCCTCGGTACCCTCGGCTTTCGAATTCTCTAAAAGGCAAATCAGTTAGATTTCGGAACTTGGTACGGATATTGACCTTGCCGTATAGCTTGCTCTAAGATTTTCGCAAGTGTTATAAACTCTCGTATAATTGCCGAGAGATCCCTATCGTTTAATGCTATCCGGATCGTGATTTCTTCTCTATTACGTGCTCTTTAATACAGACGGCCATGACCTTCAGGCTTTTATCCGAAGTGGCTAATAGAAATGCCAGGTTGCTCGCAATCTCCTTCTCTCGTGAGATACTCAGATAGCGTATTTGGTCTAGCTTAGGGACGGCAAGGTTCTCGCTTGGTACCTCAGGGAGCTTATCTAGCTTTCGGAGATGGCTAATTATTTGCTATAGTTATAGGCGGGTGATTGCACCTCCCCATATCGTTGCTTCTATAATCCTCTTTTCTTCGTGACCTGCCTTATTGCCATCCCAGGACATGGTTAGGTCGTAGTAGGTATGATACGGGCGGTTGCGAAAAGGTGAGGCAGCTGGAGAGAGGTACGAGGAGGGGTCGAGGTGGTCGCAAAAGCGTTATTGAGGAGAGGGGGATGGAGCTATAGGCGAGTAATTTATAATAGCAAAGGCGTGCTAGGTGCTACTCGAATCTCAGTAAATTATAGCAAAGATAATATTAAGGCTCGGAAGAGGCTGCGATATTACCTGATAGATATATTGCAAGCTTTTGAGTCAAATGCCTATTCCCGACTCTGATTGTCTTTTCCTCAAGATTCAGCAGAAGAGACACTGGGCTTGAGAGTCTGGAAATGACGAGTTTCAGCTTAGTCATCCAGGCGTCGTATGGCGGTCTGGCAGGGACGCAAACCTGTCTCGGGGGCTCCAGCTTGATTTGTGTTGGTTTATCGACAATGAAGAAGCTTGCTATGAGAAGTTGAGGCGTGCCTGGAACTGTTTATTGGGAGCCGAGCCGAGCCGCTCTCAACGGTCGTTGTGCTGCTTTACGACCAGCTTCCTCCACGACGAAAGTCATCTACATGCAAATATCCAGCCCGCAGCCACGTGCCTCGGTTCTATTGTTCGGTTCCATTGTTCTGATAGATCACACCCCATCTGCTTTCTCTCCGGTCTTTTGGGCTCTGAACCGACCGCAGGACAATTTCCGATGGCCATCCACAGCAACCGCGATGCCGATCAATTTCTTCAGCTCCCCCAGCGAGATCCGGAATAAGATCTATGAGGAGGCCCTTGGGAAACTAGATTGGCGATTCATTTTCAAATTCTGCACCTTGAATTGTGCACAATCTGCTAACTCCATCACCAGTGTGACGAAGAACACCCTACCTGCCGCAAGTGCCAAAAGTCGAAGCGTGAGTGCTTGGGCTACGATCCTCTCTTCAAAGCACAGCCAGGTCCTGCAGCCACTCAACCGGCACCAAGCTTTGCCCCTTCTCAAGGCCCTCTCGTGGCCACAGCAAACCCACACGAAAACCAACCCCAAATGCTCGGAGCAGCCTACGGTACACCAACAATGAGTTACGATCCTGCTCTCTCCGCGGGCGTCAGCTCTCCCGACTCAGCAGTTTGACTACACCTCCGCGATCGATCCAGCATTGGAGTCTGCTACAGCATAGTCGACACGATAACAGCCGGAATGCAATGGAAGATACGTGCTGTCACCCAGAAGGGGTAGCGGCGACCGAAGCCCGGTGGGGTTCTTGCTGCGGATTAAAGATATGCTGTACGGAAATAGTCGATATCATCTGTGATGACTGTCTGTGGAGAGAGACTAGGAAATTGAACAATCAATTAGGGTTTATTGGTACGCCTGCCTTGTATTACGGGAAAAAGTAAAACGACCCTCCCGTCCGCCCCCCCCCCCCCCCCTTAACTGCCTCGGGCTTGCGGCGGGCTTTAAGGAGACGCTAACTACTCGTCGGCTAATCCTCACCCTGTTTGGGCCGCCTCGCTACGCTCGTCGGTTGCAGCAACTCCGACATACCACCAACTCCGACATTTTATATAATTAATTAAATATTAATATAACTATATAAGATATCGTAATAAAAAATTTATATTATTATAGAGCTCAATTAGCCCGTTAAAATGATATAATATGGGTATTATATAACCTGTTTTAGCCTTTATAATACGGAGATAAGTATTAATTTTTAGGCTAAAATTATTATATTATATTTACTTTTGCTATATATTAAGAGTCAAGTACAGGAATTACTCTTTATTTCGTATAGTATTAGTTCCTTTAGCCTCCTATTAATATTATATACTAGCCTGTATACTAGTTTCCGTACTTTGGGTATTAATAGTATTAATCTTATACTTTCTCTCTCTAGGCTTCTTTCCCTAAGCGAGTAACTCCTGTCTTCTAGCCTTCTTTGCTTTTTCTTCTATTCTCTTTCTCTTATTCCTTTTAGCTCTCTCTTGTTCTCTTCTTATGGCCTTTTTAAGCTTCTCCTGCTCCTTGCGAGTAATATTCTCTTCTCTTTTCCTCTTTTTTTTAACCCTATCAAGTTTAGCTTAATGGCGGTATTTAGCTCTCTCAAGCTCCTTCCGAGCTTTAGTTAAAGTATTCTTCTTCTCCTGCTTCTTATAAGCCTTAATTTGATATAAATTATTTCCAGATAAGATAACTCGACCCTCTCCTAGTGGCTTTATGTATTTTTAAAGGTTCTCTTTATCTATAAAAGGAGAAGGCTTAGCCTATATACTCTCTTTATCCTTCTTAGTAAGGTTCTTGTATATAATTGCACCCAAATTAGCCTTAATCTGGGCTTCTTTCCTAAACTTATAATTAGATAATTACCTAGAAGGCAAGGATATCTCATCTTTATACTTTTCTAAAAAGGTAGTATACTTATATATACCCTTTGCTCTATAGGGTATCTGGAAAAAGGAGGTTCTGGTATACTACTAATTATCTAGTCTGTAAATTCCTGAGTTCTTCTTGCTATAATTAGTAAGTCTAGCTTTAGAAAAGGATTCTACTAGATTATTTATAGTATTTCTAATCTTGTTTTCGATTTCTAAAGCCCTAGGAAGTAATAGAAGCTCTAAATCGTCTTTATTATCCTTATTAAGCTTGCTTAGGGGTTCAGGGGTATTATATAATTCGGGCTATTACTCCTATATTATTAATTCCCTAGGCTTTACTCGGAGTTATGGTTTATTAGATAAAGGTATATGAATTCCAAGTAATAGATTAGTCTTACTATAATTATAAATATATTCTCTAATACTTTTATTATCTAGTTTCTTAGCTATTTGCTTCTCAAGAGCCTTTAGAATTATATCGGGATTAAATAAGTAAATACTAGTTTTTGCGAAAGCTAAATATATATTCTTTTTAGTAAAAGCTAGAGCTCTGATTTGCTTATAGTATTATAGGAAAGTCATTTTCGTAAAGTTGTTTCTATTCTTATAAATCTTGTCTTTAATTACTCTTAAATACTAGTACTTCTCCTACTAGAAATATGTAATATCTAATAGTTAATATAGGTATATAGAGTATATAATTAGACAGAAATAAATAATATCCAAAAACTTTATAGCTTGGATAAATTCGTATATTATATAGCTTCTGTATTTATTAAATATTAGAAGACAATATTTGCTCTTAACTTGTAACTTGGTTTGGTAGTAGAAATACTATAGCTATTTATAGGCTAGCTCGTTATTTATATATCTATTTTTAGAGGTTGTGATTTTGATATTTGGGACTAGATTATTATTAAAATACTTCTATATAAATATGCTATCTGGTATAATAATAAATAGATTAAGCTTCTAGAAACTAGTAGATATATACTTTATAGCTATAACTAGCTCTCTTTATATAGGATCCTTTATAAATATTTGAACTTAGTTAATATAATTATATTTTTAAGGGCATTTTTAATAGAATGGTTTTTTACTTATATGTTTTATATTCTTATAAGTAATTATAGTAGTATTTTATATATATCCTATTCGGAATCTAATCTTATTTATATTATATTAATTATTCTTATAAATATTATACTTTTCCTTTATGGCCTTTAGATTATTAAAGTATTTTATAATAATTTCGGGAGTAAGAGTATTCTTTCTTTTATAATCTATAGGCTTAGTATAAACTATATAGTACCGGCCTAATTTCCTCTGTTTTTTTACCTAATAAAGGGCCTATATATCTCTAATTTGGTCTATAGAAGAAAGTATTTGACCTATAGCCTTTAAAATTAATATAGCTACTATAGTAATTATATTATATTATAAAGAATAATTCCTCTTAATATATATATTTATATATTATATTAAGCTTGCTTCCTGGGCCTTATTTAATCATATATTATGCCCTCTATTCTCCGAAAGAGGCTTGGACCCCTTATATTAATTAAAACATATTAAGTAAGGTATATTAAATATAGAGGCAGAAGTTTATAGGTTTGTAATTTCGGTTTCTATAGGGTCCTTCCAAGTATATATGGCTTCCTTTATCCGCTCCTCCTATACTATATACTGAACCGTCTTGTACTATAGGAGTTTTTTGAGCCTCTAAACCACTTCCTCGTTCTTCTCTCTTATTATACGGTATATGGCTTTAGGTATAGTGGCGTATTTAATGATTTGGATAGGAATAGAGTAATATTAAGGAGTAAATTGGATGCGATTTTTATATATAAGGTTATACCGAGGCTGCTCGGTAAGCTCCGATAATTTACTTAATTAATTATTACTATAACCGGATATGCTTTAATTAAAAAATACTCTATTAGGTAATTACTAGTCTAAGTAAGGGCTATAATTATATAAAAAAATTATTTTA